TATATATCATTAGATTTGTTTTTAACTATTTATTGAAATATAATTAATATCAAACGAGATAATACTATCGGTAATATTAGCATTGTAGCAGCCATGGAAAGATTCGATTATATGGCTGGTAAATAACGATGGCGCGCAAATGGTTTTATCAGGCAAAGTGTAAGAGCTGAGCTCTAAAAAAAACTTATGGATACTTCTCTCTACCCTTCGGCCTCGCTTGGGCTTTGTTTCTTAGACAACGTTCAAGGCGCACGAAAAGGAAAAAAAATCTCCGAACTTGTCTGAAGGGATTTGTTGTGGCATTACTTTTTGGAGACGGAAATATACCCCATTTTTCTTCTTCTCACTAAAGTTACTGTGTTGCGTTCTTATAATGTCGGTCAAAAGTAGAGGCAAAAGTACATCAACGTAAAAGTCAAAGGAGAACCCAGCGTTCGTCCAACCGGACAAAGTGATACCTCCCCCCTAACTGCACGCCTTATATTGATGCTCCCTGCTTGAAACCTGACTACTGCTCTGAGTTTTCTGCCCTTTTGACCAATTTGTCTTTGCCGAAATGACCTAGAACACCCTTCTCCAAGGGCTCTCTAAAGCGTGGGGTATTTGGTAACTAGGTAGGTATTTCCACGGCAGGGTGTAGCCCTGGGATCATCGGGAATCGTTCTTCTCTGATTTCAATAAAAAAAAAGAGCAACTAATCGGTGGTCGTGTCGTATACATGTTGCTCTACAGGCTACCCCTTGTTTTGCAAACTTGATTCCTAGGATTTCTCTGTTCCTTTGGTGGGTTCGATGTGATGGCTAAATCACAGCCGTTGGATTGTCTTTGAAGCAGTGTGTTCTGGGACCAGATAGGTTTGCAGGGCTCGTGAGGAAACCCGCATGATTATGGTCCCTTGTCGCGGGGTCCTCCCTTTCATGTTACTGGCAACCTTTTGGTTCAACTGTATTAAATTGGGCTCATAAAAGTTTTTGAGCAATTTGGATAAGACTTGCCTGTAGCTCCACACAAGCCCATGGGCCACACTTAAATAATTCTTTTTTTCGTTAATGTTATTACTGTGTTTGATGTGGCAGGAGGAGCATGAACAGATTAGAGCAAAGAAGGGTGAGGGGGAAGCTCTTGAGTGGAGTGATTACAAGTCAATGAGCTTCACTCAATGTGTAAGATAATTAATATGACTAATTAGACTCGCTAGGAGGACTTCAGGGACTTGATTTTCATTTAGCTTTCCTTAAACTCCATTTTCACTTTTTTATACTATTTTTGCAGGTTGTTAATGAGACGCTGAGAATCGCGAACATTATAGGCGGGATATTTAGACGAACGATGACAGATATCAATGTAAAAGGTAGGAAAATTGTTTGTTGCTTAATAAGTGGCTCTGCTGAAAAGGGATATGGTTATCTTTACAGTATCTTTTATCAACTTATAAAATCTCTACCCTATAACCTTTTCAGGCTATACAATTCCTAAAGGATGGAAGGTTTTTGCATCCTTTCGTGGTGTGCATTTAGACCACGAATACTTTAAAGATGCTCGCACTTTCAATCCATGGAGATGGCAGGTAGTTATCTTTTGCTGGCTCGTGTATCCCTTGTCTTGATTACTTCAAATTATCACTAATGAGCGTCTTCGAATAAATTAAAAATGAACAGAACAACTCGGGGGCAACATGCCCAGCAAATGTGTTCACTCCATTTGGAGGAGGGCAACGGCTATGCCCAGGATATGAGCTTGCTAGAGTAGAACTCTCTGTTTTCCTTCACCACCTAGTCACCCGTTTCAGGTATCTCCTACAATCGGTGTCGATCTTCCCCTTGCACACGTTTTGTGCATATAAATATAATTGGCAATGCACATGCTGATTTGAAACTAATTTTTGTCTGTGATATTGTATTTCGCACCAGTTGGACTCCAGCTGGAGAAGATAAGCTGGTTTTCTTTCCAACTACGCGGACACAGAAGCGATATCCCATCAATGTGCAGCGTCGAGATCGTGTCCAGGCCATGTAAATTATTAATTAGAGCAAAAGAGAGAGCATAGTGGGAGAGCTGTAATCCTTTTAGTGTTGGATCCAATAAAAGCTAAAAGTAACAAGGTAAAAGCAGATGTTAAGTTCTGGATTGTTGAGTATTCCATTAGTAGAGGTTGTGGGCGGCGGGTGATGATATCCACCCTCCTCCCCGTTTATAACAACACCCCCGCTAACTCTCTTTTCTTATAAACCGACGAATACACCCTTGAATCAAACCCTTCTCGCAGTGTAACTCTTATCGATCTGGCTATTCCTCTCTCTTCCCTTCTAACCTCCAACTTCTAACCCACACCACCCTAAGGCCTAACCATCACTATTCTTTGCGTCAATAAGAGTTTTTATTTGCATGCAGCAACCCGCATTTGATTACGTCAATTGTTTTAGCTTAGGCAGAGAGATCTTTCCTTGCAATACAGTTTTCTAAAGAAACATCATGCTCTAGAATTCGTCGTTTGTCTGTCTTCTGGACTTGGGGATCGTGGTGAAACTAAAATCCTAGAGCATTAGGAGGTCTTGTGCACGATTTTAAAGTCAGATGCCGTAGTAATCAACATCTCAACGGTACGGTTTCCAGGAAGGCAATGCTTGCAAGTTGTAACTGAAGCTACAATGGGACGGGGCCTTTTTTGGGTTTGGTGGTGGTCTGAGCTTTAGAAGGGAAAAGGAGTAGAGACTAAACAGATTTAGAGGGTATAGTTTTTTCTTCTATTTTTCTTTTCCTGAAAAATAGGAGACCTATTAGAGAGGAGGGGGGACTCCAGTACTTGTTGAGTTACAAGCTCATCGGTGAGAGGGTGTACTTGTCAGCTTGTAAGAGAAGAGGGGTGTGGTTATCACCTGCTGTAGCGGGCATCATTGAAGCGTGCAACAATCAGTCTCTTCTCATGAGGCAGTATAAAAAAGGTATAGAGTTTTCGGCTCCCTGGTCACGTGGGGACCTAAATCATGAGATGCAAACCTGTTGCAATCACTCGCTTAATCGCAGCAGGT